TTTTTATAAAAAAAATTATTTAATTTATTTAAAATCAAAGTGAAAATTTTAGAATAAAAAGTAGTTAATTATATTAATAAATAACTAATTTTTTTCTTTTATCTAATCTAAACGAGTGAGGAGATAAATTAGTAGATAATCAACTTTTTATTAAAAACTTATTCAAATTCAAATTTAAACACATCAAAAATTTAATTATTGTTATTTTTTCAAGCTAATTCTGATTTTTAAGTAATAATTGATAGAAATAAAAAGCCATTACCAATAATCGAAATCTTAATCATCATCTGGTGAGATTGGTTTAGAAAGAAATGTTAAAAACTATAGTTTATTTTAATTTTCATTTAATTGCAAAGATGTATACATGGGTAGATTAATTGGTATAGGAGGAGTTAACATAGGATTTTTTTGGTAGAACAAATTCAATAAATACATTTTAGATTCAAGAATATATTTATTTATTTATTTGCTTTTTGTTTAATTTTTAAAAATATAAAGAAAATAATTACATCGCACTTTACATGCTAATTAAGAATTTATTTATGATAAAATATCATCAACTTAAATATTTTAAGCACTTAAATAAAATTATTTTCAATTAATTTTTAATTTCTTAAAATAATTTTCTTATGAATTTTGTACCTTTAAAATATTTTGAGCATTGATAACAAACAATTAATGTTACATTCGAAAATTGCTTGTATTTTTTTTCTTCTAAAAATAAGATAGATCTATTGATTAAATAATTTATTGTAAATACTATAAAAGCGCATATTCTACCTAAATGCAAATAAATATGAATTAATTATGATGCTTTTGAGCTTATCTCATTTATATAATATTTTAGAAGAAATAGTGTAAAAAATCAATAAATTAATAGTGCTTCTAAATATTAGCTTCATCGAAATGGCTTTCTAATAATACACAGTGTCTTTTTGAAAATAATTCGATATATAGATAGATAATAATGTTCGCCGATAAATATGTAGTTAACTATTTTTTTTGTATGTATGTTTGATTGTTAGATAGGTAGGCATGTAGCTAGCTAGTTAGACAGTGAGATTGATAAATAGATAGATATATAGATAGAATTGGCGAAAGGAGGAAAAGAAGAAAATAAATAAATAAATTAATTAGTAAATAAAGGAGGAGATGTTTAGGGAGAAATTTAATGTATGGGAAAGAGAATGAAAGAAGAGGCGAAATTTAAAAATTGTGTTAATAACAAGAAATCAATACATTTATTTATTAAAAAATCAAAAGAAGAAAAAAAAATTTATAATATCATATCAATATTAAATGTCTAATAAGGTCGCTACCAACAACATTTTCGCTAGTCTTAATGACGACTCCGATAACGAAGCTCCCGTTAAGAGTAAAAAATGACATTTAAATATTTATGACTAATAAATTTTCTTAATCAACTAAAGCCACCCAAGCTACTAAGGCTACCACTGAAGCCAAGCCCGCTCAAAATGCCACTAAGGGTACCCACTCTAACACCAGAGGTCACAGAGAAAGAAGAGATGCTGGTGACAACGGTGAAGAAAAGGTCAAGAAGGACGATTCCCAAAGACCCAAGCACGTCAAGGACGGTGTCAAGCCCAAGGGTGTTCCCGCTGAACCTCACCCCTAAGACAGAAAGTCTGGTACCGGATTCTCTGGTGTCGAGTAAGATTAATTGATGATCGATTCATAAATTTGATTGACAAAAACACAATCATATTTGTTTGCAATACTTACTCTTCTCTAAATCACTTTTTAATAATATAAAAGCAAGAAGAAATTCAGAAAGGAAGGCGGTGGCAGAGGTAACTTTGGTACCATCAAGGGTGAAGTCCAGTACATACATACATATTTATATCAAATGCATTTCTTCAAGAAAATTCTCCTTTGTTTTCAAATTTTGCTTACCAAAAAAAAGCAAGCAAGCAAGTTAGCAAGCAAGCAATCAAACAAATAAGAGAGCTTACTACTTAATTTATTTATAATTAATTTATTTGTTTGCTTGTTAGCTAACTAGAAAGCTTTTGCTTGGATGTTTAATGGATAAATGATTGAATGCCAAATACAACATAGATAATTTGAATGAAAATAAGAAAAGTTGTTAAATTTTGCTATTCTCCTACTCCTTCAACTAATTTTAAATTGATATATAAATTAGTAAGTAAACTAAATAAATGATGAATAGATCAACGAATTAGTGTATAATGAACTAACTAATCAAACAATTACATAGCAAATAAATGCTCTACTATCAAAACTTTATTATATCGCGAATTTTTTGAGCCAACATTAGAAAAATTATAATATCTAATCTTACTTTTTAAATGAAAGGAGAAGTGAAACAAAAAATAAGTGAAAAATTTAATCAATCAATCAATCAATAATTAAACAAATAAAGAGATTAGCAAAACCAAGCTATTAATTTAAAAAGCAAAAAAACAAAAAAACAAGGAAGGATATTCTATCACAAAGAAAAATGATTATTTCAATAATTTAAATATTTTTGTCAACTGCAAAATAGATAATTGAAGGAAGAAACCAAGGAAGTCAAGGAAGAAGTCCCTGAAGAAGTTGAAGTTGAACCTGAAGTTGTTGATAACACCATCCTCGCTGAAGATTACTTCAAGATGAACGGTTACTCCGATGAAAAGCCCGCCCAAAAGGTTCCCGAAAGATAACTCAACTTAGATGAATTGAAGAGAGAAAAGCTCGAAGTCGTCCAATCTAAGACCGAAAAGGTTATTGATACCAACATCAAGAGTGCCAACCAAAAGAAGAACAAGGGTCCCACCACCTACTCTCTTGGTTGCAACACCGAAAACTCCGAATTACTCGGTGTCAAGTCTGGTCACACCACCCTCAAGTACAAGGTTGAAAAGGCTGGTGATGAACTCGTCGGTAAGATCGTTGAATCCAAGAAGGATAACGCTAGAGACTTCAAGGACAACAAGGACAAGAAGCCCTTCAACAAGAACAAAAAGGTAATTCTAGTTTACATTTCTAATTCATTCAAACCAAAAAAAAGCTACTATGTTTTCTTCCTTTCTTTCTTACCTTCCTTCCTTCCTTGCTTGCTTCAAACTGCAATCAACAACAACAACAAAAACAGACAGATTTATTCGTCTTTCTTTATTGCTCTTCAAATAGAAATTTAAGAGCATCTTATTCAAATTAAATGCAAATTGATTTTAAAATATCAATTCTATCTCCTAAGTTAAAGTCTAAAGCAGTTAACAAGCTAGGAAGCAATTAAATTAAGCATAAAAAACATCAATAAACTAAGCAGCATTTCTACATAAATTTATTATCAATTTATTTACGTTTGTTTAAAGTTTAAACTGAATTTGATAAATTAATTGATTTTGCATTTGTTGATAAGCTTAATTGAGTAAGAAAGTAAGAAAAGATGATATTAAGTAGCTGTCACAAGAGTGAAAATATAATTTAAATGATATAAATGTTGCTGGATTGAATTGTTTGTAATAATAATTTTATTTTAACCAAAAGGTCAACGTTGAAAACGAAGAAGATTTCCCTAAATTAGCTTGAAATTTATAAAGCTTTTAAAGCTCTTGACTAAATGGTTAGCTAAATACTATTTAAAAACATATAAATATAAAAAGAAAGTAATATATTGCTATAGATATTCTTATTTCTATTAGTATGAAAGTATTATTGATAGTATAAGAGAGTAGTCAGTTAATAGTTAGCTAGTTGGTTAGTTAGTTAATCAGTCAGTCATTCAGTTAATCAATCTCTAATTATGGCAGATTATCTTTCTATCTAACTACAAACCTACTACTTACATTATAATTTAAGTTATAAACTGCATGTTAAATTCCCTATATTATTAGCATAGTAATTATTTAATCATACAAATACATACTGTTTTCACTCTCACGCATTTTTATTTAAAATACAACCAACCTATTTACATATGCATAAATAAATAAATAAACAAATACATACATACATATATACCTCTATTATCTATTAGCTAACAAATTAACAAATCAATCAATCAATCTATATATAAATATATCAAAGAATTAATAAATAAAGACTTTATTCATTCATATCAAAAAAAATATATTCATTTTTCTTTTTAGCTAATTTAATTATTAAGAAATATTACTTACTTTTCTTTCTCCATTTTAAATTTAATATTGCTAATTTAATATTTGCAAATTTATTTCTTTCTCTTTCTTATTCAAAATTTATAGTAAAATTCAAATCGCATTTTTAATTATTCATTTTTCTTAAAGAAAAAAAAATGGAAGAAAAAAGAAAATAATAAAAAATTGCTATTTTTTTTTTGGATTTATGCTGCTTTAAGTAAATAATCAAACAAGAATCCATGCTTTTATTTTGATTAGTAGAATTTTTTGATAAAGTCTTGCTTTATTTGCTATTTTTAGCGAATTTTGTGCTTCTTTTAGAAAAATACATTTTTAGAAGAGCATATCATTTTAAGCTAAAATTTTTGTTTTAAATGTCTGAAATTTATTAAAAAATAAGACCATTTTGAGTTGTTAAGTATTTTGATCTATATTTGACTTAACTAAGTTTGATAGGTAGCTACTCCACCAAATAACTAATTTTTGGCCTTAACTTTTTGAATTATTAACTTTCCTTAATAAATTATAATTAGCCTTTATCTATCTATTTATTTATTAATTAATTCATTCATTCATTGATTTATTAATCTTAATAAATTAATTTCTATTTTATTTTTTT